GCTTAACAAGTTGCAGGAATGAAACTGTTTGGTGACGTGGACAGAGTATTAGAAATTAATCCTCGTGGCCATCTGTGTAATGCGCCAGTTCATAATAAACTAACAAGAAGCTAATAGCAGTAAACAAAAACTACACCCTTGCATTGTCTCACTGTCACTCAATGCCATGGCAGTAAAAATAGGGAATTCACTCTTCTACAGCAAACAGCTGTGTGTATTAAAATAGAAATTTAAACCTGGAAAACAGAACTTAGTTGAAAATCCAATGAGACAAAGTGAACAATTTAATTTTAAAAAAAGAGCAATGAGGTAAATTAAAAAAATAAAAAATAAATAAATAACGTTTGATGAAAAGGTGAAAGTGGAAGCCTGCAAGAGCCTGATTGCCATGCTGAGGTTTTGAAGGCTAACAGTGGTTCAAGGTTGTAAAACAAACCACAGAGGGATCTGGTTGAGGTTCAGGGCTTGATGGTAGGAGTGTGGGAGCTGTAGGCTGTGTTCAAGCTTTTCATCGAGGGGATCCTGTGGGGCAGGGTGTATCATGGCTCTTGGCTTTCACTGGCCTTCCACTGCCCCGTCTCTCAACCACACCCTCCACATTCCCTGCCCCAGGCCAGTGGGGCAGGAAGCACCGGGGTAATACCAAGCGCTCCTGGCTTCTGGATCTCGTCACTCCGAAAACCCGCAACCTGAACCCGCAACCCCAGACCTGTTTTTCACTTCATTTCCTCAACAATCACATGTAATATATGTCTGGTTACACGTTAAACAGAGGCAGGAGTGCATACGTGTGTGGTGCCAGAGAGATGAGGTGTGTGTTCTGCTGTTTCAACATTCAAATTCTATAGAAATATATTGAAACCTTAGGCACATTTGACCAAGTTGAGACTGACTTTGTAAAAACTAAGTGGAAGTATGTTTTGTATTTAAAGTTGACTTTGTGTATACCCAAAGACCAACTGTCAATGAAACACTGATCAGGCATTCTGCTCGTTCTCTATTACTCGCTTACTGACCCACTTTCTATGAGATCTGTATAATTCCATAAAACACACACAGTGTAAACTGACTACAGGTATTAATATAAGTGCAGACAGTTGCTGGATGCAGCTAGACCTGGGACGGTAATGAATAAATACTTTAATCACATTATACATTAAAATAAGGTTGATAATTTTGCCAGCCTAAATGATAAATTTCATTGTGCATGCGTTTATTTTTTTATTCTTTTGCTTCTAAACAGGCTGGATGACAAGAGGGTTCCCTCTGAGCATCGGACTCCGTAGGGGAATGAGCGGAGTGGAGTCAGTCATCCACTCTTTGTGGGGACCACTTGAATACACACACAGTGCAGGAACACAGACAAGCCAAAAAAAAAAGGTAACACAACAAACTTTTACCATTTGAGAATCATAAATATACTCATGAGAAATAAAATGTGTTGCATTTGACTCGGTGTTTTACCAAAATATTCTAAATAACTGCGACTGTTACTATATTAATACAGTAAAAAAGTAAAAAAGTTCTTTAGGCTGACAATGAAAGTTAGAGTGTATTATTAACTTGGCTAAGTTACATTCAAAATTCCAAATAAAACAAACAGACTGGCTTGTGTAGTCTCTTCTCCGTGGTAGTAAATGTTATTTGTATGGCAGCGATAGTTCCTACAAACTCCTCCCTGGTAGTTTTGTTGAGAGGCCAGCGCTGCACAGTGGCTTTCCCATCAGTTAGGCACAACTCCCAGTGGTATAAAGTGCAGTCCCACTGGGCTAGTATGTGTGCCGAGAGGGAATTCATAACTATTATGATTCATGGAACTTGCAATTACTTAGTAAGTTAAGCACCCTGGCCTATGGTGGTCTGCTCTAAATTGCCAGAAATCCGGCAACTTCTGAGATGTAGATTTATGGTTGCAGTCAAGTCCAATTGCTGTTAATTAGCATCTACCAATTACTTTAATTAAGGTTGTGAATTTGAATGGTGAGCAGCCCTTGGTGAGTGTATGTTTGGGGGTGTGTGTGTTTGGGGGTGTGTGTAGTGTAACATGCCAAATCAGCAGAACTAGACCTTAAGGAGTTTTTTGCTGCTTCCACTGCTACTTAAATGATCTTTTTGATGATTGGGGCTTTTTAGAAGAAGTCAAACACAGTTAGAGACGGAAGAAGTGTCCAAGACAATAAAGCATTAAAATTCTAGGTGGAAATTCCTCACCCAACAATAACAAATGTTGACATTTAAAGTTAAAACTAAACATTTGATCTGTTTTTCTTAGTGGAATGAAGCAGAATAAACAGAAATGATACTTTCCTACGTAGTGCCTTGGCTTCGTTGCACTGATTTCCCCATGACAATAACTCAATAACAACATTACTCATCTCCAATGCTGCTCCTAACAGAAGCCTGCTATTCATTAGGTTGATTGCACTTATATACACTACTACTTGCCCATTTATATTGTATTTACAAAAGATCCTTGAAGAAAGAAATTGTTTCCATAAACTAAATAAGCAAAGCATAGCTCGAGATCACACCAATATCAAAACAGTAGTACAAAAAAACATTACAAAAAAAGCATTAAAAGATGAAAAATAAATTAAATGTTCCTTCC